AGGAGTTGGCCAAAGTGTGCAATCCTCGCGTTCACCGTTGCCCTGCTCAAGTCTCTCTCGGGCCTGACCTGTCCTCTACTCCGCAGCTGGCGGCGGCGATGTTCTTGTGGCAGTGGCGTCGTGGGCAGCGACGCCATCCGTTTTCTTCCCGGAGAGGTCGGGCGCCACCTCGGGCCGCTAATGTTTCGGAGCAGTGTCCACCAGGAGGAGCCGTTCACCTGGAAGTATGGCATTGCCTTCCCTCCGGTCGTGGGCAATGGCCACTGCGCCCTGATAGCGCACCGCCGCTCGATCTTGCTCCACAATGCGGCGGGCAAATGCTGGCGCGGATTCCTCAGGGGGTAAGCTGGCCGCTATCTTGACGCGCTCCATCGTGAGACCCAATGCGGGGGTAGGCCCCAGAGGGGCCGTTGCTGCCGGTGCAGGTGCCCCCCCCGTTCCTCGAGGCGGCGCCCAAGCAGGGGCGAGGTACCAGTCTTTATTTTGTCGGCCTCGCCTCGGCCTTCCATTCGGTAGTTCGCGGACCCTTCGAATTTCCTTTGCCATCTCAGGAGGACTTCGAGTACGCGTGCTATGTGGCGTGAGGAGAACACCGGCCCCTTCGGAACCATGGCAGGCGGAGCCCCGCAGGCGCCAAGACCTGGAGAAGGGAAGGCCCACGGTGTGGAAAGGGCGCAACTACCGCAAGGTCGAACAAGCAACGGTGAAGGAGCAGCATTGGGGCGGTCGCGGTGTTCCGCGGGTGCCGCCTCAGCCGCCAGACATCCAGATGGATGTCGTCCGCCCCCGACCTGCCCTACGGCGACAGCGACTTGGTGCTGGAACGAGTCTCAGATCTCTGGCGCTGCTGAAGTGGGCGCCGACGTGGAGTCTTGGTTGCGCGCGATGGCTGGCAACCGTTTTGCGCGCGCGAGGATACTAGCCAACGAGCTGGAGAGCTGCCAGCTGAGATCGCGACCTCGGAGATCACCGGCATCATCGTGCAGTTGGCCAACGGCGACGTGCAGGGTTTGCTTCCTTTCCGGAGCCGTCGGCGGTCACGATTGTTTGGTGAAGTCAGAGGGGGGCCCGCTCAGCCCGAGGACGCACGGCTCCGAACGTCCTGGAGGCCGGAGGCTGTTGCCACAGGCACGGCGGCCTGTCTGGTGTGCCCCGCTCGCGAGCTTCGACTGGCGGCCAGAACCTGGCCGACGACTGGCTATGCATTACATGGGGGCCTGCTTTTTCTGGACGTCGACCTGTGCGTGAGCGGCGCCGCGGGGCGCCGCGTCGCCGTCTCGACGGCGGCCCGCCCCGGTGGACACCTGCAGGTCCTGAGGCTTCCGCCGGGCGAGTGGCCCGCGGGCCTCTCTCGCCCGCTGGGCCGCGCGCCGATGCAGGCGCAGACGCTGCTGCAACTTGCCTCGCGATACATCTGGGCGTTCATCGACCCCGTCAGAGTGGCCGACAGGTTTCCGGGCTGCGGGCGGGGTGTCTTCGACGGGGTCGATCTGCCCGTCGGCCGCCCGTCGGTGCTCGGGGGAGGGTGCTCCTCGCGACGGCTTCCACGGCCGCCTCCGTCCTCTCGGCTCCCCTCCGGGGGGAGGAGGAGGGGGAGGAGGAGGAGGAGGAGGAGGAGGAGGAGGAGGCGGAGGAGGCGGAGGAGGAGGAGGAGGAGGAGGAGGGGAGGGGGGGGGGGGAGGGGGGAGGAGGAGGAGGGGGGAGGGGAGGAGGAAGGAGGAGAGGAGGCGGAGGAGGCGGAGGAGGAGGAGGAGGGAGGAGGAGGAGGAGGAAGAGGAGGAGGAGGAGGAGGAGGAGGAGGAGGAGGAGGAGGCCGTCGGCCGCCTGTCGGTGCCTAAAGCTGCCGTCGCCGCGCATCTCTCAGTGGACGCGGCGCAGGCGCCCTCTTGGGCACAGCCCTGCGAGGCAGCGCTTCTGCCGGAGCCCCGCCGGCCACACCGTGGGCGACCTCGACCCCCGAGCTCGAGTGCCACCGTACATGGACATTACATTCGAGCCCTGTGGCCCAAGATGCCCCCCCAGACCCCCCGAAATCAATATTGATGGCGTGGCGACGGGGGGGGCGTGAGTGGACAGAAATATTCGAACCCCAAAGCACCGCCTTTACCGAGATCAACATTGATGTCGGGGGCGCGGGGGTGATTTAGAATCTCTCTCGAATGTGTAGGGGTTCGAATGGATTGTCCTTCTACTGCAGATGCGCCGACAAGGCGTGCATGTTTCAGGAGGGGAAGAAACACACAGACGCAAGTCATCGTCGACTCCCAGGAAGGTATGCAAACATATGGGAAGGTGGGGGGGAAGACCCCCCCCCGAAAAGAAGGGAATATATGGGGATTTGTTTTATGTGTGTATTTGTGTTTGTGTATTTATGTGTGTGTGTATTTCTGTTGTGGCTGGGGCTGGATGGATCTGTTGCTTCCGCTCCTTGGAGGGGGGCCGCATGCCCGTGCCGGCGGGGGGCGAGGGCGGCACGGGGCTGCAGCAGACCCCAGGCGCCGCCCCGCCGGCGGGGCTTTTTAGTATTCAAGCAGTGGCGAGGCGTCCTGGTTCGCCTATAGCCCTACCAAACAATGTTCTGAGAACCTTTTGTGGTTTCCACGACATGTTCTTGGAACTTTTTTGGCGGAGTCAGCATTGTTTTATCACACCGGATGTATGTTCTAAGAACGTTGTTATTGTTCCTAGAACATCTTTGGGTTCTAAGAACGTTCCGTGGTAGAACTATAGGAATGCCGGGACGGCCGGTCCCTGCTCAATGTATGGCCCTGTTCCACGGCTTGCTCTGCCTCATCTGATTGTGGAGGCGCGGCAGGTGGCAGCAGGGCTGGCCCGACTCCGCTCATCATGCCGCGCTGCAGTCTTATCGTTCACATCATTGATGGGGCCCCAGGACACACAAATAAATACACACAAATAAAAAGACTCCCTATATTTTCCCATATTTTCTCGTTTTTTGTCTTCCCACCCACTTCCCATATTTTCCTGTATTTTCTCGGGAATCGACGATTCATTGTGTCTGTGTGTTTTTTTCCCCTCCTGAATCATGTGAGGCTGCCGTCCATCCTTCTTCCCCCTGCTGCGCGCGGGCCCTGCTGCAGCGCGGGTCGGCTGCACGGGGGGCGGCGGGGGCGCAGGGACGCGAGCTGTGGCCAAGAGCCGCCTGCGGCCTGCCCGCCCCCCATCCGCAGCCCCGCCCCACTCGCACTCCTCGGCGTCCTGCCGCTCGCTCTCCGTTGAATGTGGCGCTGGAGCGAGCTGCGCGGCCACTGGCGGAGAGGATGGCTCTTCCTGAAGCTCGCCCGTTCGGGGCGACCCGGTGCCTCTTGCTGTGCTCCCTGCCTTTGCTTGCTCCCTGCTTGTTCGCCTCCATCCACCCTCCCTTTCTCCTGGCACACGCCCTGGTCACCCGTTGCGCGCATGCTGCTGTCTGACGTGCCATGGTCGGTGCTGCTCTCTCATTTCTCGAGCTCTGTTCGGGCACGGACCTGTGCGTTTGCTCGTCCGTTGTGCAGGCAGCCCCGCCTCCTTACCATATGTTACACGCCGGTCGTTGAAAACATGTATTCTTGGATTCCCAGATCCCAATCTACTTCTAGCGCCTTCCTACTTCAAGAATCAGCATGCTCTTGATGTGCGTTGTTATTCGCCAGGAGGGCCTGGAGCCAATCTGCTTTAACCGCCTTCCTACTCCATGCTTTTACCTACTTCTTCCGACCGACGTGTACTTCTTTTCCTCCTGGTTCTTCCCGCTCCCGCTGCTGATGAGGGTGGTGCAGGCCCTTTCTTGCGGTGCCCCCCTCCGCGCAACGGCAACACCCCGATCCCACGCACTTCGAGCTCCTGCTGAATCATGCCGAGCGGGCAGGGAGGGACCGCCCGACGAGGGACCTCTTCAACTCTTGTGCGCTGCTTTCCAGCCAGCATCTCGTGTACTCGCTCCTGACCACCACCTCGGGCCATGATTGGTTGGAGGATCTGGAGGACGCGGTATAGTTTGTGAAAGGGTGGTGGGCGGCTTGTTCTCCTTGTATTCGAGGCTGTGTTGTGCTGCCTGGCAGCGGGTTCGGGCGTCTTCGCAATCCAGAGCTCCCGCACCAGGCTCTTGTCTTGCTAGCCTGCGGTCGGCCTCACTGGGCGCGGACCAACTGGCGCCGCGGGTGCGTTGGCCCCGTGGTTCGGCCTATCCTAGCCCTTAGCCGTGGGCCATGTGCTCCTAATATCGGCTTCAGTTCAGGCGTCGTCCAATGGCCCTGCAACCTGGCCGCGCGGCCCTGTGACCCTGTCGCGCTGTATCAGCCTCGGCCTCCCCGTGCTTCATACCCCCAGGAGCTCGTCGGTGTTCCTTCACACCGACGCGTTCACACCCGTTCGCTTCCCCCCCCCAAACGCCGTGATTCAAGAATCGGCTCCAGGGAGACCACCACCCCTCCCCCCAGACTGGCTGCTCGTCCCGAGCAGTTGCTCGACGGTCCTGGGGCCCCGCGAGAGGGCACGCGGAAAGGCCGATCAGACACGAGCAGCGCGCCGTCCCAGGCATCCTCTGGTCTGTCTTTTGCCGAGCCGCGGCCCAAGAGGTCCCGACCTGTTCCCCGGGGCCAGCTCTTGGCCCTGCATCCACCTTCCCGGGGCCCGATGGCTGGCTCACGGGGCCGGAATCGAGGAAAGACGCCGGGGCTGAAGAGGTCACACCCGAGGGTGTCAGGGGTTGTTTTTTCCTGCGCGGAGGGGTTTTGCTTCGATAGTAACACATGGGATCCTCGTGCGTCCTCGAATCTCCGTCTTCAGAGTGCTCCGGCGTGCGCAAGCTTTTTGTCGTCGGTGGGGAAACGCCGCTGCACCGTCGAAGTGGGGCCGATCCGCGTCGATCGGTGTCGACTGGCGTTGTTAGCGTCGGTGCGCATGAGCCAGCAAGATGGCGTGGGAGTCTCCTGCGAGGTGCTGCCGAAGGCTACCCCCCCCAAAAAAATATATCCGCGAGCGTGGCCCGGCGGGCGCAGATCTGCATCTCGGTGGTGCTCATGGACGCGCGCAGCCTGGGCGCGGAGCCCGTGGACCTGTGGGACTCCGCGCCTCCGCCTCCTCCTCCTGCTCCTCCTCCTGCTCCTCCTCCTCCTCCTCCTCCTCATCCTCCCCTTCCTCCTCCCCCTTCCTCCTCCTCCTCCTCTCTCTCCTCCTCCTCCTCCTCCTCCTCCTCCTCCTCCGCCTCCTTTGATTTCCCAGTCCTCCTCCTCCTCCTCCCCCTCCTCCTCCTCCTCCTCCCCTCCTCTCCCCTCCTCCCTCCTCCTCCGCCTCCTTTGATTTCCCAGTCTCCTTCTCCTCCTCCTCCTCCTCCCCTCCCCCTCCTCCTCCTCCTCCTCCTCCTCCTCCTCCTCCTCCTCCTCCTCCTCCTCCTCCTCCGCCCCCGCCTCCGCCCCCGCCCCTGCCTCGGCCTCCGCCTCCGCCTCCGCCTCCGCCTCCGCCCCCGCCCCCGCCTCCGCCTCCGCCTCCGCCTCCGCCTCCGCCTCCCGTGGGTCAGCGGTGGTGGGAGAAGCTCGGCAAGATCTACGCAGCACCCCGCATTCGCGGGTGAGGGGGGTGGGGCGGGCGCGGGCTGGGTCGTGGGCTGGGTCGTGGGGTGGGCCGCGGGGGGTCGCGGGGACGATGACGGCAACAGCAGCAGCAACGTCAGCAACAATCTTTTGAGGAAGTCCCGCGCGAGGCCGCGCCTTCTCTGGAAAGTGCAAGGATGCATCAGGCGGGAACCGGTGTGATTGTATTTCGGGGGCCAACGGCGCAGTCTGGTAACACCCATCTCTCCCCTGTAAGGAAAAGGGGCGAGCCCCAGGAGGAGCATTTTCACTGAATAATGCAATGGTTACCTGAGGGAAGACCAACAACAGCGCGGTTCCGAAGTAAATCTTGAGAAAGACAACAGGGAAAGCGTGAATCCTAAGTGTCGAGGGCGCGGCGTCTGAGTACATCGTGAGGAAGTTCCACGCCAGGACGCGATCCCTACATACCTTGTGCGCGAGGGCGCGAGTTTGGACTACACTGTGAGGACGCAGCGGGCGTGAGCGATTGCTGTTGCAACTCGAAGGCCGGGGGCCCAGTTTGGTTACACTTCGTTCTCCCTTGCAAAAAAAGTCAGGAGGGAAAGAAACACACAGACACAATTAAATCGTCGACTCCCCAGAAAATATAGGAAAATATGGGAAGTGGGGGGGAAGGCAAAACCCAGAAAATATATGGACATATAAGGAATCCGATTATTTGTGTATATTTATTTGTGTCCCAGGGCCCCTTCAAAAAGGCGCGAGCCCCGGGAGAAACACTTCATTTGAAATAGCACAGGGTTACCTGAGGGGGGGTCCACAATAAGCATTCTTTAGAAATGAGAATTTCACAGTCATTCTAAGACTGTTCGCTCTTGCCTGCTCGCGTGCCAGTCAGCACGTATATCCCGAATCCTCGGTACCCGCCCTCTTCGTCTTCGGTCGTACCCCCCTGGGGGTATATCTTCTGTGCCTGCCGCGCGTAATTGGTGCAGCCGCTGAAACATGGAAAGGGGAAGGGAGAAGGATGGAGCACGGGATTCGCAGGAGGGGGGATAGGAGAAGAAAGCACGTGGCAGAACACAACGGGCCCATCGGGCGGGTAGATCTTATTGGGCGCGAGCAGGCGTGGTTCTGAAGCGTGAGTACTGGATGAATCGCGAGGAGAGCTTGAGCGATAGCGTGATTCCCAAGTAAATGGTGAGAAAGACCAAAGCGAGAGCGTGATTCCTGAGTGTCGAGGGCGCGGCGTCTGAACACATTGTGGGAAACTCCCACGCGAGAGCGGGATTCCTGTATGATTTGTAGGGGAGCCCTTCGCGAGAGGGCATTTTAGGAATACATTCTGAGGACGTATCAGGCGTGAGCCGTTGTTGTTGTCACTCGGTGGCCAGGGGTCCAGTTTGGTGACGCTTCTTTTGCCTTTCAAGAGACAGTGTGCGAGCCCCCGGGATGAGCACCTCAATAGAAATAGCACAGAGGTTACCGGAGGGGGGAGGGGTCGACAATATTTATTCTTCAGAAGTGAGCATGCCAACATCATTCTAAAAGTGTTCATTCCTATTCGCCCGCGTGCCATTCAACACGTCTATCCCACACCCTCCGTACCCTCCCTTGTCGTCTTCGATCGCATACCCCTTGGGGGTATAATGCCTTTCTTACTTGCCGCGTGCATTTTGCGTAGTTTCAAAGCATGGGAAGAGAGGGCGGATGGAAGGGGGAGTGAGAAGGATGAACCACGAGGGCAAGTAGCATGAGGGGGGCCAGGAACAGAACGCACGTGGCTGAACCAGACGGGCAAATCGGACGGGCAGACCCTCGCGGGCGGGTCGGGAAGGCGGGCCCAGGCGGCCAGGTGAACCAGGTGGGTTGTTGAAACGCGATTCCTGCTTGAGTGGCGAGAAAGTGTCGAGCGATAGCGCGATTTCCAAGTAAATCATTCGAAAAGCGAGGGCGAGAGTATGATTCCTGAGTGTCGAGGGCGCGTCGTTAAAATATTTTTCGAGGGCGTTCCACGCGGAAACGCGATTTCGGAAGTAAGTATCAGGCGGGAACCGTTTTCTTGTAGCCAGGGGGGGCAGGAACACAGCTCGAGCAGGAATGATGTCCCTGGTGAAGACGGTGCGCCAATAGGTGGAAATCCACCAGAGTTATTCTTTAAGGGTGAACGTCCAACAACAATCATGCTAAGTCTGTTCGTTTTTTTTCGGCTCGCGTGCCATTTAACACCTTAGCTGCCTCGATACGCCCCTGCTGAGACGTAACACGCACCGTTTTTAAAACGTCCGTGTCAATTCGTTGCGTGTTGGTTCAGCGTACTGGCCCACGTTTTGGCGAACGTATCGCGTCAGACATACGTGTTCGGTCTGCGTGTTGAGCTCCGTGTCAATACTCTCCGTGTTGCGTGTTGCGTATCGGGGCACCTAAGTTCAACACGTACAACCCAAACCTTCAGTACTTGACCGCCCTCTTCGTCTTCGATCGTACTTTCTTGAGGGCATATCTTACTTACCTGCCACGCGCATGTAGTGCTTCCCAAAAACAGGGGAACAGCGCACGGATGGAAGGGGGAGGGAGAAGGATGAAGCACGGGAGAATATTAGCAGGAAGTGGGGTAGGAACAGAAAGCACGTGGCTGAACCAGACGGGCACATCGCGCGGGCAGGCCCAAGCCAGCGGGTCGGGAAGGCGGGCTCACGCGGCCGGGTCGAGCAGGCGGGTTGTTGAAGCGTGCGTCTTGCATGAATCGCGAGAAGTTTGGGTGATGGCGCGATTCCAGATTACATCGTTACTCTTCAAGTGATTCGAGGGCGCGGCATATAGTTACCCTTCAAGGGTAAGAGTTCAACAATCACCACACAAGCACCACAACAACAATCATTCTAAGACAGCTCACTCCTACCTGCTCGCGTGCCATTCAACAGGTATATATAACCCTCGGTGCCCCTCGGTGCCCGCCTTCTTCGTCTTCGATCGATACCCCCTCTGGGGGTCGATTGTTTGGCCGCGCATCTACCTTGACGACTAGAACCAGTGGAGCAACATATTTCTTGCCTGGAAGCCTTGGCTCCAGACCGAGCCAATAATGTGAATAGGCAAGCCAGCCTTCGTTGAGGTGGGGAATTTCTCCCCGCAGGTAGTCTGTTGTTTGGTGAAATTGACGCCACACATGCTGCAACAATTTCTGTCCGGCACCTGAGACGTCCATCGGCTCCTCCAGCGGTGACTGATTACATGACCAATTCTCCATGGTCGTAGTTGTAGGTATTTGTATGAATCCGCCGCCCGCGCGGCCGAGACGTTATCTGTCCCTGGTTTTTGCGTTTTGTTTTCTCTGGTCACATTGTATATTTAGATTTGCCTGCGCATTCTGCCTTTTCGAAGCATGGCTGCGTCTGCCCCTGAGTAGACCGCCCCGGCTTCTGAAGTTGGCATGCAGACCGCACCGCACCAAATTGGTGCAACCCCTAAAACAGGGGAAGATAGGATGGCTGGAAGGGGGAGTGAGACGGATGGAACATGGGATTCGCAGGAGAGGGGCAAGCAGCAGAAAGCACGTGGCAGAACTAGACGGGCAGATCGGGCGGGTTGACCCCAACGGGCGGGTCGGGAACGCGGGACCAAGCGGCCAGGTCGAGCAGGCGGGTTGCTGAAACGTGAAGATGTCTCGAGCGACAGCGCGATTCCCAAGTGAACCGCGAGAAGAGCTGGGGCGAGAGCGTGATTCCTGAGTGTCGAGAGCGCGGCGTTTGAATAGTTACATGACGGAGAAGTCTTACGCGAGAGCGCGTTGCTTGCATACATTGTGAGGAGGTCCCGTGCGAGCGCGTGATATTCAAGTACATCGTGAGGAAGTAGCAGGGGGGGCCGCTGTTGTTGCATCTCGGGGACCAAGGGGCCAGTTTGATCTGCAAGACTTTCCCTGATACAAAACAAGGTGAGAACCCCGGGGGGAGCATTTTTATCTGACAAATGCAATGTGCGCCGAGGGGGATCCACAAAAGTTGGCGCTCAACAGCAACAGGAATGTCAACAACAACAACAACAGTCATGGTAAGACAGTTCGCCCTCATTTATTCGTTCGCGTGTCAACACATCTATCCCAAAACCTTGAGACCCGCCCCTTTCGTATTCGATCGTGTCCCCTTGGGGGTGGAACAAGGGGGAAGGGGGAGGATGGAACACGAGAGAAAGTAGCAGGAGAAGGGGCCAGGAACAGAAAGCACGTGGCAGAACCGGAAGGTCAGATCGCGCGGGGAGACCCTACTGGGCGGGTCGGGAAGGCGGGCCTGAGCGGCCTGGTCAAGCAGGCGGGTTGCTGAAACGTGATTCTTGCATGAATCGCGAGGAGGTGTCGAGTGATAGCGCGATTGCCAAGCACAGTCGCGAGAAATCCACAGCGAGAGCGTGATTCCTGAGTGTCGAGGGCACGGCGTCTGAACACATCGCGAGGACATCCTGCGCGAGAGCGCGACTCCTGCAGCCGAAGTCCTGAGCGAGAGCGCGCTTTGGGAATACACTGCGAGGAGGCATCGGGCAGGAGCCGCTGTTGTAGGTCGGGGGCCGGGGGCCCGATCTGAGTCTCAACGCTGTCCTCTTTGTGATAAAAAACCGGATGCGAGCCCCGGGAGGAGCACCTGAATTGAAACGTACAATGGTCGCCGGAGGGGGGGGGATGAACAAGACATTTTCTTTTAAAGAATGAGGGTTCGACAACGACTACAAGCATTGTCATTGTAAGGCTGTTCGATCTCATCTGCTCGCTTGCCGCCCAACACGTGTATCCAGAACCTTCGGTACCCGCCCTCGTCGTCCTCGAATGAACCTCCTTTTGGGGGGTATATCTTCCCTACCTGGCGAGCGTAATTGGCGCGGACCCTAAAACAGGAGAAGGAGGGGAATAATGAAGAGACGAGGAAGAGGGAGAAGGATGGAACACGAGAGAATTCTGCAGGAGGAGGTATGGGAGCAACAGCACAAGCGGCATAACCAGCCTGGCGTGTCGGGCGGGCGGACCCACACGGGCAGGCCGGGCCGGCGGGCCCAGACGGCCAGATACAGCAAACGGGTCGCTAAAGCATCAACCCATCATGAAGGAAGTTTCGAGCGATAGCGCGATTCCCAAGCAAACCGTCAGGAAGTCCAAAACGAGAGCGTGATTTGTGAGTCTTGGGGGCACGGCGCCGTAATAGATCGTGAGGGAGTGCCACCCGAAAGCGCGATTCTTGGTATCAGGCGGCAGCCGCTGCTGTTGTAAACTGCGAGCCAGGGGCGCAGTTTGGGAAGGGTGCGAGCCTCAGGAGGAGCATTACTTGACAAATGTAATGGTCACCGCAACAATAAACATCCTCAGAAATTAGATTTCACCAACAATTATTGTAAGACTCTTCGCTCCGATCTGCTCGCTTGCCATCCAACACCTACATTCCAATCCTCTGTACCCGCCTTCTTCGTCTTCGATCGTACCCCCTTGGGGGTATATGCTCCTTGCCCGCCACGCGCATGTAGTGCAGCCCTTAAACAATGTGAAAAGAGGACGGGTGGAAGGGGGAGGGAAAAGGATGGAGCACGGGAAACATTTGCAGGAGGGGGGCCAGGAGCAGAAGGCACATGGTAGAACCAGATGGGCAGAGCGTGCAGGCAGACCCCAGCGGGCAGGTCTGCAAGGCGGGCCCAGGCGGCCAGGTCGAGCAGGCGGGTTGCTGAAACGTGAGTCCAGCATGCATCGCAAGACAGTTTCTCGCGATACCGCGATCTTCAAGCCAACCATGAAACATGCCAAAGCGGGAGCGTGATCCCTGAGTGTCGAGGGCGCGGCGCTTGAATACACTGGGAGGAAGTCCCATGCGAGAGCGCGACTCCTGTATACATTGTGAGGAATTCCCGCGCGATAGCGGGATTCCGGAATAACTTGTGAAGAAGTATCAGGCGGGAGCCGTTGTTGTTGTAGTTGGAGGGCCAGGGGCGCAGTTTGAGAATTGAGGAGCAATGATATTTTCTTTTAGGGGAAGCAGGGTACGAGCCCCGAGGGGGGGGCATTTGAATAGAAACTATTACAGTGCGCACCTGCAGGGGGATCAGCATTCACTATTCTTCAAGATTGGAAGTTCAACAGCAACATGTTCGAAACGACTGTTCGTTTTTATCTGATCGCGTGCCGCTCATCATGCATATTCCAAACCCTCACAACCCGCCCTCTCCGTCTTCGATCATACCCCCTGGCGCATATCTTCCTTACCTGCCACGTGTAGTTGGCGCAGGTTCTAGAACAAGCGAAGGGAGGAAGGAAGGGACAACGGGGAGATATTCAAGATAATGATGATGAATAGTGAGAATGCAACGGCGCCAGCTTGATGCAGACGTCCTTTTCCGAGTTCTCGACGAGACGTTCCATCACGCTTCGTAGACGCAGCGACATTTCCCCTTCTTGTCTGGTCAGGCTCGTGAGCATGAGCGTTTCGCCCGAGATATCCTCTCAAACATGACATGTTGGAAACCTGATTTTTTACACATGAGCGTCTCCCCTGAAGCATCCTCGGAGTCATGGGTTCGATATTTGTTTATAGATATATATATATATACACATACCTGTACGACCACCCTTCGGGTGATAAGGAGGTTCGGGGGGGGGGGGACCAACGTCTCACTCGATCGGTCTCACTATCGATCTCACTATCGGTCTCGCTCGATCGATCTCACCCGATCGATCTCACAATCGATCTCACTCGATCTATTTCATTCGATCTATTTCACAATCGATCTGACTATCGATTTCACTATCGATCTCGGTATCGATCTCACAATCGATCTCACATTCGGACTCACTTTCGCTCCCACGATCGATATCACAATTGATCTCACAATCAATAGCATCATCAACATCAACATCATCGTCATCAACATCATCAACATCATCATCACAATCGAGACACCATCATCATCATCATCACCTCATAACCGTTATCACCAACATCACCATCACCATCATCATCATCGGGACACCATCATCGTCACCATCATCATCATCAACATCATCATCATCATCATCGGGACACCATCATCGGAACACCACCATCAGCATCATCTCAGCATCATCATCATGACAACATCATCATCATCGGGACACCATCATCATCATCAGCAACACCATCCTCAAAATCATCATCACCATCATCATCATCGGGGCACCATCATCATCGTCACCATCATCATCATCACCATCATCATCGGGACACCATCATCGTCATCAACATCAGCATCAACATCACCATCATCGGGCCACCATAATGAAAATCATCATCACCTCATCACCATCTTCATCATCAACATCATTATTATCGGGACACCATCATCGTCATCGGCATCATGATCACCATCAACACCATCATCATCGGGACACCATCATAATCACCATCATCACCAACAGCAGCATTATCAACCTCATCATCATCATCATCGGGGCACCATCATCATCATAATCGGCATCATCATCATCATCTCTCCATCATCAGATCATCATCATCAACATCATTAGGATCACCAACATCATCATCATCGAGACTCCATCATCATCATCATCATCAGCCACATCATCACACCATCATCATCACCACCATCACCATATTCATAATCATAATCATCAACATCGTCAACATCATCATCATCATCATCGGGACACCATCGTCGTCACCACCGTCACCATCATTATCATGATCATCAACATCATCGACATCATCATCATCATCATCATCATCATCATCATTATCATCATCATCATCATCATCATCATCATCATCATCATCATCATCGGGACACCGACGGGACACCGGCGGGACACCGGCGGGACACCGCGGGCCACCGGCCCCCGGAAAGGAATCATTTGGTCTGGCCGCGCCTCAGCCGGAGGCGGGACACCGGCGGGCCACCGCGGGCCACTGGCCCCCGGAAAGGGTTCATTTGGTCTGCCTCGCCTCAGCCGGAGGAGACTTGCTTCTCGCCCCCCCACGCAGCTTCGCCTCGCCCGCACGCACGGCACGCACGAACACGAAACCGAAACCGATTTCCCGGTAGGGGGGCTCTCCGTTCCACTTCGATCTCACCCCCTCACCTCCGATATTCGGAAATGAGCGTTTCGCGTGAGACATCCTCGAACACATCAGATGTCGACAGAGGTGTTTTAAAACCTCTTATGTTGAAAGTGACGCTCGCGCTCGAGACATCCTGAAATAATTGGGAGGAGCATGGCAGACCAACATAGCTGTATCCTCGACGTCGTTTCTACAAGTGTCAATTTCGCGAGGGACATCCTCATAGTCTGGGTATGATCCCAACATTGTTTTGACATCGCTACCAAAGTGTTTCAAGACGAACAAAGAGGAGCCCAACAATGACCACGAAATGGCTCCAATAGCGCTCTCAAGACTGCCGAACGTGACGATTTCGCCAGGGACATTTTCAAACAAATGACAAATAGGATGTCATCATTTTGAAAAATATGGCTCTAGAATCGTTTCGAGATGGTTATCGCAGAGGCGAGACGGCCCAAGCCAGCCTGTTAAAGGCATGCAAGTTCGTTCGGGGCATCCTCAAAACAACGTGTGTGTCTGACGTCGCACTGTAAAGATGCTCAGGGCATCAAGATTGCCCCAAACAGTCCAAAACGAGCTTCAATATGACCACAATATTGCCCTCAAGACTACCAGAAATGACGATTCCGCCAAGGTATCCCCACCGAACTAAGAATCTATCAGCATCAACTTTTGCATAGCACGGTAGACTAGCGCGGCAAACAAGCACCGCAGACCAGCACGATAGACCAGCTTGGTAGACCACCACGGCAGACCAGCTCGGGATACCAGCACGCACGGCATACCAGCACGGCAGACAAGCACGATCCAGACCAGCACGGCAGACCAGCACGGCAGACCGGCACGGCAGATTTGCAGATTAGCGCGGCAAATTGTGGATATTGTAGGTTGCCTCCTGTATTTGCATGCTTGCGTGCCTGGATTCAATTTGCGGCTCCTTTGATCGTTGAAGTCCTTGCGTCTGCCAGTTCGAGGCTCCTTTGATCGTTTCGGTAGTGATCTGGCGCGGAGTTATGGGGGCTCTTGCCTTGGTCCTGTCTGAGGGTTGGGGGGGCTCGGCGTCTTGGGTTGAGGCCCATTGTCATGCCTTTCGGCTGGCCCGCCTCCGCCGTTCCCTGGTCCATATGTGGCCACCCCGCTGGTCGAGCTAACTTTCCCCTTTTCTCCTTGCCTTTAAGGCCCCGCCAACGGCAGACCAGCGCGGCAGACCAGCACGGCTCAGACCAGCACAGTGGATTGACTTCACGGCAGACCAACATTGCAGACCAACACGGCAGACCAGCACGGCAGACCACCGCCGCAGACCAGCTTGGCAGGCCAGCTCGGCAGACCATCAAACGGCATACAAGCACGGCAGACCACCACGGCAGACCAGCACGGCATACCAGCACGGCAGACAAGCACGATTCAGACCAGCTTGGCAGACTTGCGCGGCAGACCAGACTGGCAGACCAGCATGGCAGACCAGCACGGCAGATGAGCATGGCAGGCCAGCAAGGAAGAGGCCAGTGGGGCAGATTAGCACAGCAGACCAGCATTGCAGACCAGCACGGTTCAGACCAGCACGGTAGATTCGCGTGGTAGACCAACAAGTTAGACCAGCATGGCACACCAGCACGGCAGGCCAGCACATCAGACCAGCGCGGCGTTACAGCATGTCAGACTAGCACGGCAGACCAGTTGTGCAGACCAGCGCGGCAGACCAGCACGGCAGACCAACACGGCACACCAGCACGGCACAATGAGCACGGCACACCAGCACGGCACGCAGCTTGGCAGACCAGCGCGGCAGACCAGCTTGGCAGACCAGCCGTTCTTATCAGAGTTCTCGACGAGACGTTCTATCAGGCTTCGTAGACACAACGACGTTTCCCGTTCTTGCCGTGTCGGGTGTTCAGAACGGGGGCGGCGCCGCCGCGGAGGGTCGGCGGACGCTGGCGGAAGCAGGGGTTGTCCCCCCGAGAGGTGCCGGCCCTTCTTCAGAGGAGCATGACGTATTGATATTGACCGTTTTCCAGATTTTCAGGTTTTCCTGTTCTCCCGCGCGGGCTCCAGGGACGAGTGGTCGAGCGCATTCCGTCGCTTCTTGGAGTGCCCTGTCCATGGCCGGCCACCCTCAAGTTACGCGTGCGATCATGGACCCCTTGGCAACGCGAATTTGTCCTGCTGTCACGCCGAGGACCGCCGAAGACCGTGCCAGGCCGCCGTCCAGACCGCCGTCCAGACCGCCGAAGACCGCCGAAAGCCATGGTCGAACGCGTAACTTGGGTGGCGCATTCCCCGTCGGGGCGCGCCGCGCTGCTCCTCGCGCTCCCCCCGCTCGCTCTGCCCCTCGGGCCCGGCCCCGGCCCCGGACGGTCAGGGGCAGGGCCGGGGCCGGGGCCGGTGGCTCCAGAGCGCTCCGGGACGCTCTGGGACGGCCGCGGCGCCCGAGGCACCTTCCAGAGCCGCCAGCTCTCAGAGGTCCCCCCCCCTCCTCCCTCCTCCTCCTCCTCCTCCTCTCCGCCTCCTCCGCCTCCTCCTCCTCCTCCTCCTCCTCCTCCCTCCTCCTCCTCCTCCTCCTCCCTCCTCCTCCTCCTCTCCTCCCCTCGGGTCCGTCCGGTCCGGTCTCGTCCCGATCTCGGCTGCGTCTCGGGGCGCCGCTCGCGCGGCCGGCCCTCTGAGCACCGCCTCCGGGCCGCGCGGGGGGGGGGGGGGCATGAGCCCCGCAGGCCAGCCGCCGCATGCCCCAGAAGTCCAGGGGCGGCCAGCGCAGGAGCAACTCCTGCTGGGCCGCCGGGGTCGTGGCGGCCGCGCTGCTGGCCGCCGCCGGCGCCCTGTCGCTCGCCGCGGTGCTCCAGGAGCCCGGCGAGGCCCGCGGCCTGGAGCTGAGGGTCCCGCCGCGCGTGGCGCCGGGGGCGCGCCCAGAAGAGGCCCTGGCATCGCCCGGAAAAGTGCGTTTTTTTTTTTTTTTCCTCGGCGAGGACCATCGAGGAGGAGGAGGAGGAGGAGGAGGAGGAGGAGGAGGAGGAGGAGGAGGAGGAGGGTGTTTTTTCCTGGCGAAGAAGCCACGCACGAAACCGAAAAAAAACACAGGGAATGGACGTCCGAGCGATGGCGCGAGGCGGCGCCGGGCCAGCTCGGTGCCGCGGGTGTGGGGCGGCACGCGGTGCCCTCGGCCGGGCCCGTCGGCAGCACGCGCGCCGCGGGCAGCGCGGCTGCTCGGGGGGGGTCCGCGGCTCGGCGGCCAAACATCGTCTGGGTCATGTCGGACGACCTGGGGTGGCCGGCATCGTGTGACCAATCCCCATCCCCCATCGGGGTATGGCATCTCAGCCCCACCATCGCTCCGCCCCAGTTGGGGACATAGCCCTCGAAGCCCGAAGGGAGCAGCACACATCCCCATCCACGGGGGCAGATCGGCCGGTGGGGCCCAGGCCACGCCAGTGGAGATAGGGATCGGCCCAACGATGCCCAGGTGGGGCGAGGTTGGCCTCTACCCGAGCGACTCGCCCCACGGGCGCATCGCCACGCCGCACCTGGACCAGTTCGGCAGGGAGGGCATGGTCTTCCGTCACGCGTACGCTGGCTACACCGTGTGCGCCCCGAGCCGTATGTCTTTCTTCACGGGCAGACACGCTGGGACTTTCTGGTCTGCGGGCATCAACGGCATGTCACTCAAGGCCAAGCAGCTGGTGAACAGGACCCTCGGTCCTGTGCTGCGGGGCGCTGGTTACACGACAGGCCTCTTCGGCAAGAGCTCGCCACTGGAGAGCCCAGAGAGACAGGGGTTCGACAAGTTCGTTGGCCAGGTCAGTCAGGAGCTGTGCCACAACATGTACCCGCGGTATATCGATCAGGGCGATGCGCAGCTCAACTTCAACCTGACGGGGAATTTCAAGCCGAAGAGTCGGGAGCTCTGCATGGCCTTCGGGCGTTCAGAGAACGCCAGCCCGCACAAGTGGACAGGAAATCTGCACCGGTTCACTCGACATAGGCACTCAAGTGTGCCAGTACAGTCTCCAGTCGATTTCGCTAGTCGTCGTGCATTTCGCCAGATATATTCGGTTATTTCTCTGCACGCCGCGCAGGATCTCACCCCCCCCCCCTTTTTTTGTCTCTCTCTCTCTCTCTCTGACACATGACACACACTCACCATCATCACCATCATCATCACCATCAACCACCATCATCGTCATCACACGCACACGCTCATCATCATTACCATCATCATCTCCAACCACCATCACCGTCATCACTACTCACCATCATCACCACTCTATCACCCACCCACTCACTCAATTACTCACTCATCCTCATTAGGCTTCGGTGGCAGTGGTCCTCCGACGGTAGGACCGCCGCCTCTCTCAACATCATCGTCACCATCACCATCATCATCTCTCGATCACCCACTCACTGGTCATCATCATCATCATCATCATCAGCATAATCATCACTCACTCATCACTCATTCATCATCAGCACTCACTGACTCATCACTTCGTCATCAATCACTCCCTAGATTGAATATGGAGAAAGTATCAGGCGGGAGCCTCGTCGGTGAGTGAATTGCGAGGAAGTCTCAGGCGGGAGCCCCCTCCCTATGGGGCCCGCACTTCATGTTGGTAATCCGAGCGGGTCATCCTGAAACGTGTAACTGTCGTCACTTTTGGGCTCCTGAGGCCTGAATATAGAAGAAGTGTCAGGCGGGAGCCTCGTCGGTGAGGGAATAGCGAGGAAGTCTCAGGCGGGAGCCCCCTCCCTATGGGGCCCGCACTTCATGTTGGTAATCCGAGCGGGTTATCCGAAACGTGTAACTGTCATCACTTTTGGGCTCCTGAGGCCTGAGTATGAAGAAGTATCAGGCGGGAGCCTCGTCTGTGAGTGAATTGTGAGGAAGGCTCAGGCGGGAGCCCCTCTCCCTAAGGGGCCCGCACTTCACGTTGGTAATCCGAACGGGTCATCCGAAACGTGTACCTGTCGTCACTTTTGGGCTCTTGAGGCCTGAATATGAAGAAGTATCAGGCGGGAGCCTCGTCTGTGAGTGAATTGCGAGGAAGTCTCCGGCGGGAGCCCCCTCCTTATGGGACCCGCAGATCATGTTACGAATCCGAGCGGGTCATCCTGAAACCTGTAACTGTCGTCACTTTTGGGCTCCTGAGGCTTGAATATGAAAGAAGTATCGCGCGGGCGCCTCGTCTGTGAGTGAATTGTGAGGAAGGCTCAGGCGGGAGCCCCTCCCTTTGGGGCCCGCAGATCATTTTACGAATCCGAGCGGGTCATCCTGAAACTTGTAATTGTCGTCATTTTTGGGCTCCTGAGGCTTGACTGCGGAGGAAGTCTCAGGCGGGAGCCTCGTCTGTGAGTGAATTCCGAGGAAGTCTCCGGCGGGAGCCCCCTCCCTATGGGGCCCGCAGATCATGTTACGAATCCGAGGCGGGTCATCCTGAAACCTGTAACTGTCGTCACTTTTGGGCTCCTGAGGCTTGAATATGGAAGAAGTATCGAGCGGGAGCTTCGTCTGTGAGTGAATTGTAAGGAACTCTCAGGCGGGAGCCCCCTCCTTATAGGGCCCGCAGATCATGTTACGAATCCGAGCGGGTCATCCTGAAACCTGTAGCTGTCGTCACTTTTGGGCTCCTGAGGCTTGATTACGGAGGAAGTCTCAGGCGGGAGCCTCGTCTGTGAGTGAAGTGCGAGGAACTCTCAGGCGGCAGCCCCCTCCGGATGGGGCCCGCACATCATGTTCGAATCCGAGGCGGGTCATCGGATTCTACTGACTGTCGTCACTTGGAGGTCTGAGGACGGATGTTAGGACCGATTTTGAGGATCGACGGGGAACTAGCTCCTGCGGCCTGACAACCGGGGAGCTAGGAAGGCATTAAGAACCCCCCCCTGGGTTATTCTTAGCACCCGGTTTTCTCAATATTCCAGGCGGGCAGTTTTAGCCGAACGATACACTTAGCACCCGCCGCACACAGAAAACAAATCCACCTACGACGACGACGACGACGACGACGACGACGACGACGACGACGACGACGACGACGACGACGACGAGGAGGAGGAGGAGGAGGAGGAGGAGGAGGAGGAGGAAGACGAGAGTCTTCAGAGTGGACAGCGGTCTGAGCGAAGTGCACAGCACATCTGCGCTTGGCAGGCCTGAGCTAGGCCCCGAGTCCCCTCAGCCAGGTCTTCCGGTGCGGCCATAACGCTCCAGGGTGCGGGGGCGTTATAATCCACCGGAAAAGGGGGGGGGGGGGTCTTAATGCCTTCCCTGAGGTTACCAAGCGGGAGCTTCGTCTGTGAGCGAAGTGCGGGTAGCCCCGTCTGAACTGGTCGCGGGCAAAATTGTTGTTGTCATGGGCCTGCGTGCCCGAAAGGGCGATTGAGAAGTGAAGTGCGGGTAGCATCGTCTGAGCTGGTCGTCGGCAAACTTGTTGTAGTCATGGGCCTGCGTGCCCGAAAGGGCGACTGAGGAGCTGACGATGACGACGACGAGACAGCGGCCGGGCGCAGGGGTAGCCCCTTGCGTCCGGGCCGGGGGTGGTAACCCATCCTCGGCCGAATCGGGGGCAAGAGTAACTAACCCCTTGTCTCCTGGCCGCCGGTGTTGACCCATCGGCGGCCGAATCGGGCGCAGGGGGGAACCCTTGCGTCCGGGCCGGGGGTGGTAACCCATCCTCGGCCGAATCGGGGGCAGGGGTAACCCCTTGTCTCCGGGCTGGCGGTGGTAACCCATCGTCAGCCGAATCGGGCGCAGGGGGGAACCCTTGCGTCCAGGCCGGGGGTGGTAACCCATCCTCGGCCGAATCGGGGGCAGGGATAACCCCTTGTCTCCGGGCTGGCGGTGGTAACCCATCGTCGTCAGCCAAATCGGGCGCAGGGGGGAACCCTTGCGTCCGGGCCGGGGGTGGTAACCCATCCTCGGCCGAATCGGGGGCAAGGGTAGCCCCTTGTCTCCGGGCTGGCGGTGGTAACCCATCGTCAGCCGAATCGGGCGCAGGGGGAAACCCTTGCGTCCGGGTTGGCGGTGGTAACCCACCGTCAGCCGCCCACAAAAAACGCCCTGCGTGTTCGTGGATAATGGGCCACTAACGCAATTTTTGTGTGGGGCCCTTTCTGGTTTCAATCGGTTTCTGTCACCCCCGGGACCTGAAAAAGGCACGGAGGTACGGCCCCGGGGCCCGGAAAAGCGGCGCGTCTGCGGCAAAATCTCGGCACCAGCACGAGAACTTTCGGCTCGGCTACGGCATGGGCATCTACTGGGAGACGCTGGCGAGGTGGATCAACACGCGCGCACGTCGCGACGCGCGGCGCCTCGGCGTCCCCCTCGTTTTCCTGCAGGCCGTAGACGAGTGCGACACGGTTCAAAGCGACCCAGACGCAGGCCGGCGCCTCCTGGACGTTCCGAACATGCACAAGACCGGGGACGTCCACGGCGTCTTACCGGCACGCGTCGGCATGGAGTTCCGGTTCACGGCCGTGCAGGAGGAGCTGAAGAAGAAGTTGGGGTTCGTGCAGGAGCAACGGGCCACCATCGTGTCCTTCGAGTTTCACGCAGACGACGAGCGGGACTACGAGGAGCGCGCGCAGGGCCAGCTCTTCCGCCCCCGCTACCTACCGCAGGGAATCTGGCTGCAGGTGCACGGCTTCCAGGAGTCCCCGATCTACAAGGAGGTCGCCGAGGTGCTGCAGCAGCGCGCCGATGGCGCTGGCGACGACGGCGAGGCCGAGGCGCGGGCGAGGAGCTTGCTCATGTTCAGGCCCAGCGAGCAGGAGTTCACGTGGCAGAGCTCGGGGGCGCACACTGCGCGCCGCTCGGGGTTCACCCTGACGCATGCGTCCTACCTGACCTCCACGCTGTCGCAGGGCCAGACGCTGCGCAAGGGCGTCGCCATCGACTGCGCCAGGGATGAGGACGCTGGCCGCACGGGCATGTCGGACGAGATGTGGTTGCTACACCTCTACGTCATGTTCTCCCGCGCCACGTGCATGCGGAACATGCTGATCCTGCGGCCGCGCGCGCGAGAGTTCCTGGAGCGCGGGCCGCCGGCGTCCCTGCGGAAGGCGCTACAGGAGTTTGACGAGAGAGCGGTGGGCTCCAGGGCTGAGGCGGAGCAGCTCGCGGCAGAGCTGGGCTTCGTGCTGCCGCCCGCCTGAGCGCCGCGGCGCGCGCCTGGAGGCCCGCGGGGCTGTCCCAACGGCTGGCTCCCGCGCCCCTGCGGCCTGCGAGGTTGTCCCAACGGCCTGGCCCGAAGGGTTGCCCCGACGGCTTCGCGATCTAGCCGTCGGCAAACGCGCGCGCGCTGGCCGGCGCGGCGACGGCGCCGAGGAAAATCGAGTTGCTTGCCGCGACCAGGGGGGGCGGGAGGTGCACATGGAGAAGAGGCAGGAGGATGAGGGGGGAAGGGGCACGGGGAAGGGCGACGACGAGGAGGAGGTGGCGCGAGAGGAGGAGGAGGAGGAGGAGGAAAAGGAGGAGGAGGAGGAGAAGGAGGAAGAGAAACAAAAGGAGGAATAGAGGGCAGTGCGGAGGGCGAGAGGAGAGGGTGTCCGCCAGGGGGAGGAGGACAGGGCAAAGGGTAAGCTAAACAGGTTCTCATGTGGGGTCCTACCGTCGGAGTAATTGACGTCGGTTATAGTTGTCCACTCGCAGTGTGGTGCTCTTGGCATCTTCCACCAAAGGGGCGCTTTGCAAAATAATGTTTTGTCAACCTTCGAGGCCTCGCCGGAGCTTTACAATTACACCGTCGACGTCTTCCACGCCTCGGCGATGGAGTGGTTCGAGGAGGCAGTGAGAGGCCCGAGGCCGGTGTTTCTTTACCTGGGCTACACGGTGCCCCACGGGGGCGGCTGGGCCGACGCCCCTGCGTCTCCCATGCCGGCACACCCTGTGCCCTCTGATCTGCAGTACGCGCAGGAGCTCAGAGGAGGAAAAGGTATTCATACTGAAATGACCGCTGGGGGTGCTAAATGGATAGGATGCTGAGAAGCGGATGCTGAGGTTGGCTAGATCTGGCCTAACCTCGCTCAGAAGTGGGTTCCAGGTGCCCCGAGTGTTTTAGGGTGGTCGACGATCTACGCTGCGTGAGCTCCGCCCACTCCAGCGGAGTCAGAGCCCACCATCAACCGCTTGGAGGTCGCCCGTTTCTGAGCGAGGTCTGGCCAGCTGTGGCCCACCTGGAGCTGCTGGGCCATCCGTTTGGCACCCCCGGCGGCCACCTCGGCACCGCTGCTCGTCCCGGAGCGGTCCTCAGCACCACGGCCGGATGCGGATATAAGGAATCCCGGCCACGGCGCGCCCCCGCGGAGAGGCCCCTCGGGGGCGCGGCCCGTGCCAGCGCCGCTCCTGCTCCCCGAGGAGCCGTGGCCGCCGAAGGAGAAGGCCGGCGGGGCACAGCCGGGCAGCCCCGCGCTTTGGGCCAGGGGCCTCGCGGCGCGCAGCCCCAGGCCTCCCACGATCCCATGTCCCCAGGCCATCCCGTGGTGCGGGGCCCTCGTTTCGAAGAGCGCGCCCCGCGTCCTCCTTGCCTCCCGCTGCCCTCCTCTCTCCTGCTCCCCTCTCCCCTTTCCCCAGCCACCACCTGTGGTGTTGGGTCCGCGTTTTGAAACTGCAGCGCCGCGCGCCACCTCACATGCGTCCTCCTCCCCCTCGTCCCCCCTCCCTCCCCTGCCTCCGCCCTGCGTATGTCCATCGGCACGGCACCCCTCACGCTTCTAGCCCCAGAGCGAGCTCCACCGAAGGCACCAATTGCAGGGTTCGCGTGCGCCCCCCCGCCCATGTCGGCGCATCTCTCACACGTTTGTGCCCCTCAGGGAGCTCCACCGGAGGCCCGTGTGGCAGGGTTCGCATGCGTCCCCCAGACAACTTCGACACACCCATCACATGTTTTGTGGCCCCATAGTGAGCTCCTCCGACTGCTTTTGTCGCAGGGTTCGCATGCGTCCCCCCCGCCCAAATCGGCACACCCCTCACTCGTCTCGTGGCCAATCAGAGAACTCCACCGAAGGCTTTGGTGGCAGGGTTCGCATGGGTCCCCACGACCGTGTCTGCGCACCCCTCACACGTTTCGTGGCCCAACAGGAAGAAGCTCCATGGGAGGGCCCAGTGGCAGGGTTCGCAAGCGCCCTCCCGCCCATCTCGGCGCACCCCTCATATTTGGTGGCCCCACAGGGAGCTCGATCGAACGCTTTTGTCGGAGGGTTTGCATGCATTCCCCCGACCACTTCGGCACACCCCTCACGCGTTTCGTGGCCCCGCATGGCGCTCCGAGGGCGCCTGCAGCAGGGTTCGCTGCGCCCTCCTGCCCATGCTGGGGCACCACTCACACGCGTCGTGCCCCACAGAGGGAGCCCCCGCCCGCTTCGGCACACCCCTCACACGGTCCGTGGCCCCATAAAGGGGGGCTCCACCGAAGCCCGAGTGCAGCTGCCTTCCGATTTCGGCACGCATAAAGCGAGGCTCCCGCTCGAGGCCTCGCCTCGCGAGAGCCACTCGCAGGCGAGGGAGGAGGAAGAGGAGGAAGAGGAGGAGGAGGAGGAGGAGGAGGAGGAGGAGGAGGAGGAGGAGGAGGAGGAGGAGGAGGAGGAGGAGGAGGAGGAAGAAGAAAAAGAAGAAGAAGACGAATAAGAAGAAGAAGAATAAGAAGAAGAAGAAGAAGAAGAAGAATAATAAGAAGAATAATAAGACGAAGAACAAGAAGAAGAAACATAAGAAGAATAAGAAGAAGAAGAAGAATAAGAATAATAAGAAGAATAAGAAGAATAATAATAATAAGAAGAAGAAGAATAATAAGAAGAGGAAGAGGAGAGGGAGGAGGAGGAGGAGGAGGAGGAGGAGGGGAGGAGGAGGAGGAGGAGGAGGAGGAGGAGGAGGAGGAGGAGGAGGAGGAAGGAGGAGGAGGGAGGGAGGAAGAGAAGGAGGAGGAGGAGGGGGAGGAGGAGGAGGAGGAGGAGGAGAGGAGGCGGAGGAGGAGGAGGAGGAGGAGGAGGAGGAGGAGGAGAAGGAGGAGGAGTGGGAGGAGGGGGAGGAGGGAGGAGGAGAGGAGGAGGAGGAGGAGGAGGAGGAGGAGGAGGAGGAGGAGGAGGAGGAGGAGGAGGAGGAGGAGGAGGAGGAGGGGGGGAGGAGGGGGGAGGGGGGGGGGAGGAGGGAGGAGGGAGGAGGAGGAGGGAGGAGGAGGGGAGGCGGGAGTCGTTGTCAGCTGCCGTCGGTTTTTCGCCCCACAGCGTTCATCAAGATGAACGTGGCAGGCTCCGTTGCACCCGCTGCCTCCTTTCTCCCTCCTCGGATCTTCCCCGACCCGTTTGGTTGGCCCAGCAGTGCCGAGGTTTCCCAGTCCAGCTCCACAGGTCCCATCAGGTGATGACCTTCAGAGGCATTTATTGGTGTCGGTCTTGTGGGGGTGCTGGAGCAGTGTCCTTCCAGAAGTTAAGCCAACCGTGCTTGACGAAGCGAGGCTTGTCTACACATGGCAAGAGAATGATTGAGACCCTCGAACGAGGGGAGCTTCCCAAGGATTATAAGCAGTGGCCCCAGCCAGATGAGTTTGGCCCCCCACGTGCTGTAATCTTCCCAGAGCCATAGAGCTCTCACGGCGCCACAAGTTAGAGGATCCTGGCGCGCAGTTAGGCAAGAGGCAAGAGGAGGAGGAGGAGGAGGAGGAGGAGGAGGAGGAGGAGGCGCCCGCTCCACCGAAGCCCAAGTGCGCAGCCCCAGAACAGGAAGCTCCACCGAAGGCTCCACCTGCGCAGCTCGCATGCGCTTCCAGGACCGTTTCGGCACCGCCTTCATAAGTCCCGCGGCCCCACGGGAAAGAGCACGCTTTGTGGACGCTGGGGCGGGGGGCGGGGCGGGGTTCGAAACGGGGGGAGGCGCCCTGCAACGCAGGGGGGAGGGTTCGAACCAGGCCCTCCCTGTACCCCCCCCCCCTCCCCGATGGAGGGGGGGGGCTTTTCGAGCCAGGGGGGGGACGGGGCCCTGCTCGACAGGCAGCGGGGGGGGCGGCCTCGAACCGAGGCAGGGGCGGGGCCTTCCTCGGCCGGCCCGCCCTGCCTTGCAGCGGGGAGGGGGGGCCTCTCTGAAGTGCAGCGGGGGAGGGGGCGGGGCGTCGAGCTCGGGGGAGGGGCAGGCTCGAACCGGGGGCGGCGGGTTCGAACCAGATTCCCCAGTGGCAGCCGACGACGGCGAGCGCCGGCGCCCTGGGGCGACGACGACGACGGCGCTCGAGCCGCAGTAGGTTGCCAGAAATGATGGGTCGAGTCCTGGCACAAATCTGCTCGGGCTGGATCGAGCCCTGATCGGATTCAAGCAGAGCTGGATCTAGCCAGCTATGGTGGGATTGTGTGTGAGATGGGCCGAACTTCAGTATGGTTCGGTCAAAGCTGGATCAAGGTATAGTAGGGTCTCATGATCGTTGGATCGAGTCATACTAGGATGCCATAAAAGTTGGATCCTGTTATAATAGGATTCAATGTGATCTGGATCGGGCCCTGGTAGGATTCAGTTTGAGCTTGATCCAGGTATAGTCGGATTCTATCAGATGCGGATCGGGCCCGCCCAGGACTCGATCCAAGTTAGATTCAGCTATAGTAGGATTCGATAGAATGGCCTGGGTTGTGGGTTGTGGGTCAGAGTTCTCAGGGATCATTATTCGGGTCTCTTCGGGGCGCTCTCGGAGGCCTCTTGGGAGCAGTTTTAGGGCCTCTTGGGAGCCTCTTGGGGGCCTCTTGGGAGCCTCTTTGGGTCTCTTGGGGGCCTCTTGGGAGCCTCCCTCTTGAGAGCCTCTTGGGGGCCTCTTGGGGCCTCCTGGGGGCTTCTTGGGGCCGAGGGCTCGAAATGTCTGGTCGGGTTCCAGGTCTGGGCCCCCTCTTGGGGCCGTCTTTGGGTCCTCTTGGGCTGTCTTGGGGCCGTCTTTGGGCATCTTGCGGGCCTCAGGGGCCGTCTTGGGGCGATCTTGGGGGCCTCTTGGGGCCGTCTTGGAGCGTCGGGAAGCCGAAATGGCGAGAAGGCCGAAAACATTTACAAACGTACAGGAAAAAAACACAATGATTTGTGCCTCTTTGGGCCCTCTTGGGACGCCTCTTGGAGCACTCGTGTGACGTCTTCGGGGTCTTGCGCTGTGGTGAGACCATCTTGAGCAGCGTATTGTGGCACCCTTTTGCTCGGAGGCATCTTCGGCCCTCTTGGGTGCCTTTTGGGCCCACGTTCGGCCGGCCGTACTACTGGAGGACGCGCGCGACACGCCCGAGCAATCCTGGGGCGTCCCGGGAAATCCCGGGAAATCCCCAGACACATCTTTGTGAAACCGGTGGCCCAGGCCCTTGACCTTAGAAGTCCTATAGATCAGAACTTCTCAGGCCTGCACGAGTCTTGGGGCACTCCACTACGTGCTGCAGGCACGGTGGCGGATTAGAGCGTGATCGAGCACGAGTAGGACTCCAGTAATTAAGGGGAAAGCCCCCCCCGCTCGGACCCCCCTTCCTTGGATACAGGGCCCCCCTCTTCCCCCCTGGTTCGACCCCTGTGTCAGGGTGTTGCACATGTTTCAGGCCCCGCCCTCCGGGTCCGACGTCTCCAAGGTTTTTGTTCCCAGTGAGCGTCTCTGATCTCTCCCCCCTAGGGAACTCCACCGAAGACCCAGGTGACAGGGCCCGCATTTGCCCCCAGGATCATGTCGGCACACACCTCGCACGTTTCGTGGCCCCACAGGGAGCTCCACTGAAGGCGATATCCACAAGCGCGGTGCTTACAACTGCATATGGTTGGGTCCTTCGCCGGTATGATTATCATTCGTTCCTCCTCTTTCCTTTTTTGTTCGGCCTCTGGGGGCCGCTGTCTGGTCAAGGGCCAGGCCCATCAAGAATGGTTCAGGGACGCAATCCTACTCCGGGGAAGCGTCGCGAGTTCCATGTGGCCTCATATTGAACAGGACAAATATGATGATGTCTGACGGACGGACAGAACGAAGGAGGTACGTTACCAAGTCTAAGGTTTTAGTATGCTTGAAGGTCCAATGCCAGCCTTCCAGGCATGGCATGATCATGGTGTCCAGCTGTTTTTGAGTCCGTAGCCACCCCATATAGGGGTTGGATCTCTTCTGGTGGGAGGTACTGAAAGAAGCTGCGGCTAAGCTGGACGTACCTGCGAGCAGCACTGTCTGGTACATTCAAGGCGACTTGAAGACATGAGGGATTTGATATGATACAGGCAAGACAGACTTTTCAACAGAAGGCAATCCCAATGTACATGGTTGACAACCAAAAGCAGTCGACATGCAAGCTGAAGACGAGGTAAATCGACCGAAAAACAAGGAACATGCAAGCAAGCTGCAGCGCAAACTGATCCAGAAGGCAAAGGCAAGAGAAGCGCATTCGACTAGCAAACCGCAAACAAGCCTGAGGGTCGCTCCAGGAGGCGGAGGATGGCATTCGAAATCAACGCGGTATCGGGAGACCCTGGCTGTTATCCTCTCGCTTTGCTTTACTCCGAGTTGATCAGTGAGCCCCCCCCCTCCTCCTCCTCCTTCTCCTCCTTCTCCTCCTCCTCCTCCTCCTCCACTCCGCCAAACGGCCCATCCTGGCATCCTGGCCCCCTCCCTCGACGCGCGCCGAACCCACCCCCTGACGCGCCCAGCGCCAGACAGGCCCATTCTAGCCCCCCCCCTTCACGCGATCCACCCCACGCTTAATTGAGCAGCTCGGAGTACTGTTGTTAAGATCCCGGCAAGCCGTCTTTTCGGGACCAAGCCAAGATCGATTCCCTTCTGGGACCAGAAACCTCCACTAAGTGTAGCGCTCTCGCCTCGATACGCTGGTGCGCCAGCCGCTGGACAGAAGATGAAGACTATTTGGTAGCCGTGCCGATTTGACGGCATCATCGTCGATTTCTTCCACGGGCGACCCCCAGAACCTTGGTATACTTTCGTTGTGAAGAAATCACGGCAGATGTTTTTCACACGTTTCGACCTCCAGGGACCTTTGCCGGGTCCCAGGACGGTTAACAAAAACGATTCAGGATGAAGCATCGGTCCCGGGGAAGGGGTCCAGACCTCTAGGCTTTAGGGAGCCATGTTGTGACACATTCAAGACGGAGAATGCCTTTGAAGGACCACGCGGCGATGATCACATATTTGGACCTTAAGATTGGCGACCTCATGCAGAGAATCAAGCTGATGGGCGTTGACAGCAGCACTGTGGTGTTCTTTGCGTCCGACAACGGGGGGCACAAGGAGAGCGGCCACCACCCCGACTTCTTCGACTCGAACGGAGGCCTCCGCGGTTTCAAGCGCAGCCTCTTCGAAGGGGGCGTGCGGTCTCCTACCATGGCACGCTGGCCCGGCGTCATCCCGCTCGGCACCACATCCGATTTCCAGTGGGCCTTCTCTGAAATCCAGAAGCCCCAGGCAGTTGCCAACCACTGGGCTTAAATCGGGCCTGTCCCTCGCACAGGAGGGTTCTACAAAAATAGTCAACACAAGCACGAGGACGATGTTTCTAGTATTTTGGGTACTGTGTTGGAAAATGTTTGGTTTTTCTTTCAAAATCTGCCCGTAGGGGGACATGCCCGACCTAACACTGGGCCCGAACCCCGAAGTGCGTCGGGCACGGACGAGAGCACGTCCAGATTGGCGTCGACCAGTTCCAGGGCAAGCCTCAACCCGATCGCGGCTGTTCGATTCCTCGAGGAGGAGGAGGAGGAGGAGGAGGAGGAGGAGGAGGAGGAGGAGGGAGGAGGAGGAGGAGAAGGGAGGAGGAGGGAGGAGGAGGAGGAGGAGGAGAGGGGAGGAGGAGGAGGAGGAGGAGGAGGAGGAGGAGGAGGAGGAGGAGGAGAAGGAGGAGGAGGAGGGAGGTAGGAGGACCATTTGGACCATTTGACCAAACACAGTCGTGCGGGGGAGAAGGAGAGGGAGAGGAAGGCAGGACCCCGTACAGAGCTGTAGGTGCAGGCGGAACCCCGCCTCACCGCCACACCCCCGCACCGCTACTGGCCAGTTTGCCATCCGCAGGAGGACCAACTACCCAGCAGCGGCGGACGATCCACCGTCCCCTCCCTGGGGCCCTTCTGCCCTCTCGTACGCTCTCGCCAGGCATCCGAGGTCTCGCGCATCGAGGGCGGCCTGCAGGGCCCTCGGTACCCCTTCTCTACGGGGGTATTTGCCCTCCTCGATGCGGCTTATATTCTCTCGGCCCTTCCTGGACATGCCCTCACACTTGGCCACCAAGTGGCGCCCATTCACTGTAGCATACTTACCACAGGTGGTGCAACAAATCATGAGGAACCGCTCCCACCTCTGAACAGTGTGGGAGGGGTGCACTTCCAGCCCCGCCGCCAACCCACCGCCTCCCGCCCCCACCGAACAGACAGGGAGGCCACGGCACTGGGTCTTGGCGGCCTCGATGAGGCGAGAAGCAGGCACCACAATATTGCACACGCTGCACCTCCATGCGCCTTCGCTCAGCTCGAAACAATGGCTGGAGGCCTGCAGCGCGAGCTTCCTCCTCGACGGGGGCGCTCTCCGTTGGACCGAGGCCCGAACCCCACTCCATGGGTCGGCCTCTGACGCCAGGGCCAGTGCTCGCCTCGCGCGCTCTCGAACCAGGGTGCCGATCACATCCCAGTGGTCAGTCTGAGGCTCGCCCCCTTCCACCGACGCCGCCCACCCTCTCCCCGCTGCAGCCCCCCGCCTCTTCATCAGCCAGGGCGTTGCCCTGAATTAGGTAGGGATCGATCGGTTCGCTAGGAGAGGTGGCTTCGCCCATTTGAGAGGGGATCTACTTAAGGTTCACCTCTGTCGACCGAGACTGGAAGGCCACCCGAATTCGAGACCACAAATCCTGGTTGGCTCCGTTTTTCTGGAACTGCCGACCCCGCGGAGGGAGGTAGGAGGAGGAGGAGGAGGAGGAGGAGGAGGAGGAGGAGGAGGAGGAATAAGAGGAGGAGGAGGAGGAGGAGGAGGAGGAGGAGGAGGGGGAGGAGGAGGAGGAGGAGTTGTAGTCGTCGTAGTCGCAATCGTAGTCGTAGTTGTCGTCGTCGTTGTTGCGCGGCGGGTGCCGCGGAACAAATATGTAGTTACCCCCTATTGGTGGGACCCCAAGCCTTTGATAAGGCCGCCGAAAAGATATCAGTGACCCCCTAGTGCGGGTGGGTTCTAACGATCTTTCAGGGCAATCCCCCCCCATTTAGCCAAGCCCAATCCTGGGCCAGGGAGGGCGTCTGTACCGATTCTGGGCTCAGGATGGGCTTGGCCAGGGTCGCTGCATGTGCATAGTTCTGCTCCCCCCTCTGAGATCACCGCTGGGGTTGACAAGGGGATATTGTCAACACTGCTAGTAAGTATGAGCGACTTTCCAAGAGTACCCTTGCATCCTTGCCTTTTTGTTCAACTTCGGTCCATCCTCAACCACTTTCGATGGCCAGCCCCGCTCGAAAAGCTTCGGCACGGGCGTCCAAGGCCCTTGCGATCATTTCCGCACATCCTTGCGATCAGTCTTGTCTGTAGGGAATGAGAAGTGGATGCTGAGGTGGGTTATATTTGGCCTTACCTAGCTTACAAGTGGGCTCCAAGTGCCCTACGTCCTGCGAAGTTTTGGGGGATTCGATAACTCTGCGGAACGGGTTCCGCCCTCTCAGAGCAGATCTTTCCTAAACCACCCAGGGTACCTGCAACCCGTTTATGACCAAACAGTTCGGCCAGATACAGCCCACCCCGGCCGCCACTTCTGACCTCCCCATCTCCTCAGCAGCCCCCGCGGCCATCCAAGTCGGGCAGACTCAACACCTGGCTGGATCCTGGGGGTTCTGGTCTTCAGATTCTGGGACGTGCTGCCGACGCTCGCGGACCTCGCTGGCGCCCGGGCGCCGCCGGACCTCGACGGCCTCAGCTTGGCGCCGACTCTGTTCGGAGGGCCCCGAGAGGCGCACGCCTACCTCTACTGGACCTGGGTGGGCACCGGCATCCCGCCGACGCCGTGGGCGTTCACCGAGGTTGGGCGGCGCGCACAATCTAGGCCTCCTGGATGGGGTCCGAGTAGATGGGGTCGGAGGATCGCGCCGCATCGGGGATGCTTCACGTCGACGTCGCCAATGCATCGCCCACGTCGACGATGCATCGGCGATGCATTTGCGATGCGGTGCGATCCTTCGACCCCATCTACTCCGACCCCACCTAGGAGGTCTCTACACAAGGGGGGGCGCGATCCTTAAGGGTCTGGCGACTCTTCTCCGCTGAGATAACCGCGGCGTCTATTGAGGGCTGAGGGGATTGGGGAGCTAGAAGTGCATGCCAAGGGGCCTGCCCAAACTCACAAGTGGGTGCAAGTGGGCGGAACCCGTTTCGGGGAGCTATCTAGTCACACCCACCAGATGTAATCCACCTCTGCTCCGCGTCTATGCCCACTACCCGCTGAATAACCCCAGTGGTCATCTCAGCCTCCGGCGTATGGCGATCAAGCGAGATAATCTGAAGCAGGTCGAGGTACATCCAGATAAAGTAAGGCACATCCAGATACAGCGAGGCGTACCAACAGATGCCCGGGTAAGCCTGGAACAATTCGTTCTGAAGCTCCATCGCGAGTCGAGGGGCAGCAGAAGTCGTTTTGCCCTTGACGGCGCCAGGCTACCGCCAGGGGCGCGAAGGTAGCCGCGCTTCGCGTGTCGCGGCCAGGGCCGCCGAGTTTGGAAGAAGAAACAAACACACAGACAAACATGATGCTCTAGAGCTCTGCGCGGATGTCTTGGATCGGCGCTGGACCGATCAGGTTGTTGCAGGTTGTTGCGTTATCGAGATGACCGATGGGGTCGTGAGTGGGGCAGGACGGTCAGAGGTGTACGCGAAGGTGGGCTATACCTGGCCGAACCTAGCTTACAAGTAGGGCATGCGTGCCTTGAGTCGTAAAAAGGTGATTCGATCGCTTCGCTGAGTGGGCTCCGCCCATGTAGCCCAGATCTGTACCCCCCCTATACCGCTCAAAGCAATTTCAACCTATTTGTAAGCTACTCCAGATTTCGTAATAAAAGGGAGGGGGGTTCAACCCTTCCAGACGAGAAGTTTTAGACCCCCCCCGTGGGAGAACCCTCCAAAGCATCGTCCCCAGACCCCCCCAGGCCCTCCAAGATAGCCTGGAAGAGACCCCCCCCGAACTGAGACCCCCCTCCTTTTATTACGAAATCTGGAGTATCTGTGCGACTGCGTATCTGCGGGATCGCGCCCCGGAATCCAGACCGCGAGGGCGCGGATATGGATGCGTTCGCCGCTCGTGGTGGCTACCACCTCTGGCCCCTGTTCCCTCATATAGAGGCCTCCTCAATGAGTCCGAGTAGATGGGGTCGGACGATCGCGCCGCAGTGCCGATGCATCGCCGATGCATCGCCGACGTCGGCGATTCGTCGGCGATTCGTCGGCGACGTCGGCGAGGAGAAAACCGGGCTCCGCATCGATCCGCATCGCCGACGTATCGGCGATAGGGCGCGATCCTCCGACCCCATCTGCTCGGGCTCCACACGGAGGACGCGTAATGGGGGGGCGATAATTTGGGGGGCAGCGATGGCTACAGAAAGGGGCCCCTTCGGGCCCCGAAAGGGGCCCCTTAGGCCCAGAAGGGGGCTTTGGGCCTCCGAAGAGGGCACCCTTCTTCCCTCCTTATCTATCGCCCCCCATTAATTTACGCCCAACTCCGGAGGAAGCCCAGACCCCCTCGCTCTACAGACAGCCCAGATGGATTCGAAGTGGATGGGGTCGGAGGATCGCGCCGCATCGCCGATGCATCGCCGATGCATAGCCGATGCATCGGCGATGCGGCTCCAGGTGGAGCCGCAGTTTCTCCACGCCGGAGGGGTTCAAGGGGCCTCCGGAGGAAGCTCAGACTTGGAGCTGGCTGTGTGTCTGAGATGGCCCAGCACTGGTTCTAGCCAACAGGGAGGGGGGGAACAGGTTCGAGGTTCTGGATTCGGGAAGGTTTGAGGCCTTCTTCGGCTCTCGGGGGGCCGTTTTCTGGCCGGATCTGGTGCGAAAAACTACACCAGATAGACCCCAGGAGGAGTCTAGCGACCGATGTCGTGCGGGTTTGGCACCATCTCCCCTTCCTGACCGATTTGCTGGGGCCCCAACCATCCAAGCCCAGACCCCTTCGTGTCGTGAGACAATCGCGATGGACGGTGTTTGGAAATGTTCTACCTTTGCTGAGATCGGCGCGGGGGGTGCTGAGGGGATAGGGAGATGGCTAAGCGGGCTCTGCCCACGTAGCGGAGGTGTCTACCACCAATAAGCCACTAGGCACTTGTAAGCGACTTATGCGCTAGTCTCGGCCACATATCACCCACCTTTGCATCCACCTATAACCCCGTATCCCCTCATAACCCCCCGCGCAAATCCAAGTAGCGGCCCTCACCTGGCCCCAGGGCCGTCAGAAAACGATTCCAGACGGAAAGCCAGTCCCCGGGAAGGGATCCAGACCTCAGGGGAGCCTACCTTGCGAAAGAACTCACGACGTCGGGGTCTTGGGAAAGGTGCCAGGAGGAGGAGAAGGAGGAGGAGGAGGAGGAGGAGCAGGAGGAGGAGGAGGAGGCGCTGCCCTTCGCTCCGTTTTTGCATTGTTGCGCTTCCCGGGAGGCCCTCGCCGCTACGGCCAGCTTCGCCTCGAGATCCTGGGCAGACCCAGATCATGGGAAACCAGACTTCTCGGTCGCGCTCGTCAGCGATCGATTGACACTCCAGGTCGGTCGCGATCGATCGCGACCGATTCCAAAATCGGCGGCGACCGGTCGCGACCGATACCGGAACTGAAACAACATCGATGGTCGGGCGTTGCGTCATGGGGGGCGAGAAATGCACGCCTCGAAGTCCCCTCCCCATGGATCGCCCCCAGTAAGCAGCGCCCGGGGAGGGTGGCGACCGATCTCCCCGGTCGCGACCAGCAGACTCTGGCACACGCAATGCTCTGGGGAGCGGCGCGGGGCAGAGCGCCGAGGCCCCGCCCCGAGGTCCTGGCGTCGCAGCTTCTTCGCAGCGGGCGGTGCTGCCTTGCGCGTCGGGCCCCTTCTGAGATGACCGCGGAGGTCGCTGCGGGGCTCGGGAAGGCCAGGAGCGGATGTTGAGGGTGGATCTATCTGGCCTGGCCCAAGCCAGAAGTGGGCAACAGGTGCCCTGAGCGGTTTGTGCTGATCAGATCGCTCCGCTCAGCGGCTCCGCCCACGCAGACCAGAGCTGTATCCTCCCCTCGACACCCTGAGGCACCTGCAACCCACTTACCAATTAGATTAGGCCAGATACATCCCACCTTCGAATCCGCTTCTAAATCCCCTACCCCCTGAACAACCTCAGCGGGAATCTCAGCAGGACCCTCACGGATCGATCCCGCCGACAAATGTCGCAGAATTTTGACCAGTGGATGCCAGCAACTTCTTGTCGCGACCGACGAGATCCGTCGCCACCGACTTTGCTTCAAATTCCGGTATCGGTCGCGGCCGATTTGCTTCGAAATCGGTCGCGACCGATCGGTTGCAGTCGATCGGTCGCGCTTGGTCGCGCCCGGTCGCCACCCCGCGGCGCCCGAGACATCCTCCCGAGCCGCCAGATCTCAGAGGTTCTCGATGTATCCTCACCTGCTTTGTCTCATCGTCCTGGTTCTGGCCCTGGTTCGCGATGTGGTAATTCTCGGGGGCGGCAAAGAGGGGGGGATGACTAATTAGGGGGGGGGATCTCATGGCGGGGGCCAGGATATCTCTCCAGGTTTCGTGGCGCCTCTTCTCATTTCATTACGCTCCCGGCCCCCCCCGCATGGGCCGCGCACATGCCGCCGGTCATGCTTTGCACCTCCGCCTCTTGGACCCCCCCCTCTTGGCCGTCTCCCGAACTTCGCCGCCGAGGCGCCGAAAAACTCGAGGCTCCGTGCGCGCGGCCGAGAGGTGCCCGGGTACGCCGTGCGCCGGGGCAGGCGGGCCTGGGGCGGCGCGGGGGCCAGAAGAGCGCGGGCGCGCGCTACGGGGGTCAGCGCATCTGCCTGGGGCCAGGCAGCTCTCCCCAGAGGTCCTCAGGATCCACTTTCTGGATCCAAGAACAATTTTGTTGTTTTTCATGCATTTCCGGGTCCACATTAAAAAGTGGATCCACGGATCCACTGTTTAACTTTATTGTTTTTGCATGTTTCATGGTTTTTACTTGCATGTACATGCTGTAGTATCCGATCCAATCATGATCATGAGCTGACAGCCGGGACCCGTACCCTGGCGACGCCTAGACTTCTCGGGGCGGCGTTCCGAAAGGGGGGGGGGCTACAGTGGAGAGACCCATGCCAAGAGACACCCTGCTCGCCCCCCGGGTGCCCTGGGTTTCTGGAGTTCTCATGGTTTTGCAGTGGAAAGCGTGACGTTCCCGCACCAAAAATCCATGGACGTCCTGGTGTCTCGGGGTTGGGTTTCTTGTGGACGATTTCTTGTGGACTGGCCTCCACTGCATGGGTGTGTGTTGTCGGCTGTGGGTCCCCGCTCGAACGGGAGCCCCCCCGTCAGGGCTCGGCAGCTCGCCCCCGTGCCTGTCGCGTCCTCATCGCCCCGCCCTTCCCCACTCCTCCTCCCTCTGCTTCTGAGCGTATGTTGCTCTTTCGCCAGCGCGGGCTCGGCGCTGACGGGGGTCTGCTGCTCCCCTCCGATCCCTTGCCTGGCCACTTGTCGATGCGATGACCACCCGATGCGCTCCGCTTCGGTGCTGGTTCCGATTCGATCCGACGTTTCGATTCGCTGCAGCCGTCGCCCGACACGGCCCGGGAGCCGCGCGGCGCGTCGGGTGGTGCGGAGCGGGTCCGCCCGCCCGCCCTCCACGCTGACCCGGGCTGGGGTTGTCGCTGAGAGCGTGGCCCACGGGGTGACGGGCTGGTCGTTGACGGTTTGAAGTCGGGCAGGTCCCTCTACAGGAGGAGGATTCAAAAGTGGCCAGAAAATCAGATGGGGACGATTTTGTGGACCATGTTTGGCTATTTGGGGGGCTTGGTTCGGGTATTCTTTTATTTCTCGCCCAAAATTCGCCCGTATAGGGGACATGCCCGACCTAATGACAGTAGGTGTTAGTTGATTCCCAGATCCCAGTCGACTTCAAGCGCCTTCCTACCTCAAGTGTCGACACGTTGCTGCTGTCGTGTGTTATTCCTTGGGCGGGCCCGAACCCTATCTGCTTGAACCGCCTTCCTACTTCATGGTCGCACCTGCTTCTTCCGAATGTTGGGCGGGCAGCGCTTACCCGGGGTGGCGCGTCCCCGATAAAAGGCACAGCACACAGCACAAGTATTGGGCGCCTGAAGCTAGGTTGCGAGTGTTCGTATACGTTTGGCGCACGGTCTTCCCGACGACGCCCCTCCGAAGCGAATACGCGATATGTTCGGGCAAGGCGACGTGCCGCGAGGCGACCTACCCGCGAGCGGTCTCGGGGGAGGGGGAGGGTCTCAGAGGTGTCGCCGAAGAATCCCCGAGCGGGTGCCACGAACGGTGGGGTTGCTCGAGAGAGGATGCTGCCGTCTCGGGCTCCAGGTGGAAGGGCATCGTGCCCCACTGCAGCCAGAACGACACGCTGGAGCCCCACGTGTCGGACTCCATGATGCTCTTCGACCTCGACAGCGACCCATCTGAGACCACCGACGTGTCCTCGGTGCACGCTGACGTCGTGGCGTCGCTGAAGCAGCTCGTGATCTCCGAGTCCCTGTCGTGCCAGTGCTACCAGGGGCCCTGCAGAGGCACAAAGCGACCGAGACGTCGACCCGAACTTTCAGCATTCACGCCAGGCCGGCTGCACGAATAACTAGCTGCATGTTATTCAGTCGCATACTCGGAGCTCCATTCCATGTCGCGCGCGTAGGGCTGGACAACACGAGAGGATTTGACAGTGCGCCGATGCGATCGAGGCCCGAGAGAT